AAACTGTCTTGTTCTTTAAGGCAGCTGCGGGGCTCGTAGGGCAGGGGAAGGCGCTGGGGCGGCCCGTGTGGCAGGAGCCCGAGCGGCGGCTGGAAGGAGCGAGGAGCCTCCTCGTGGGTCTGGGAGCGGAGCTGGCGCCGAGGGGAGATGCTGGGGAGCCCTGCGGGGCTCCTGCCTCGGTCCCTCGGCACCCACCGTCTCCTCCAAGGAAGGTTTTTTCAGCTGCCACAAGCGCACAGGCACTTCCAAGTGAGCAGAGCAGGCATCCCCTGAACGGGGTTGACACCTCTGAAATGCTCGCGGGTTGGTGCAGGGGACAGGGAAGGCACCACCTGGCTGCACATCCAGGCAAAGTGTCCACAGCTGCTCCTTCCTCCCACCATCCCAGCCCTCTCTGCTTGATTCTATCCCACCATCACAGCCCTCTCTGCTTGACTCTATCCTGAATTGTCCCTTCAGGGCTGTGTGACAATCACTGAGAGGCTTTTGTGCTGATCCTTGACTCCGGGAGCTAAAAGCCACATGGATACAGGGAACTTTCTTCATAAAAAGAAGTCACTCCATTAAAAAAAGAAAATATATTTTTAAAAATCGTTCAAACCAAACAAGTAAGGCTCTTCATGTAGCTTACATCTTTATTTTAATAAAAAGGAAAAAATACTTCTCTCTCCGCATTAGATAATGGAGACATGAGGAACCCGAAACAAACCAATCCCAACTACAAGGTCTTTGCTATGAATTTGTTGCAAAAGAAAAGATGGTAAAGGCTTGGCTTTCTGTGGCCACCACAAATCCAGTTTAAGGAGTCAAGCAGATCACACACATTCCAGAAACAAAAGAAAAAACACTTATTTTTTTTAAGGCAACAGTAGCACATTGTCCTGCGGAAGAGAAGTTCAGTGACACAACTGTCACCACAGAGGAGAGTCCCATTTGTCCATAACATGGCCAGGTGGGAACATCCCTCTGGATGAAGGTTCACAGCATTTGTTCTTCCTGGGGAGGTCCCAGAGATCTTTCTGGCTTGCATTTGAAGTGCAGGAGTTCATTTCAAGGAGAGTTACTGTCTCCAAAATCAGAGGGGAGGGGAAACCAACTTCACCACTAATTCCCAAGCTAAAGAGAGAAAAAAAAAATCTGTGTTCCTGCTGCCTTCTCAAATAAGATTATCAGCAGAGGAACTAAATTAAGTCGCTCGGAGGTGATCACAGTGTTGCTCCAATAGTTCCTTTCTCACAGCAGCTGCTGATGGATTATTTCCCATGCCATCCTCATGCGGAAGTACGGCATGTGGCTCTGGAGAGAAACACCCGGGAGATGGAAAGTCATGGCAGGAAGAGGCAGAAAAGATGCATCCAGTGAATTCTTTCAGGTGAAATTCCTTGGAAAAGCTGTCAGCACTTGGTACAATGGGAGTTGTCCCTCCTCAGAGCCCGACCACCCAACACAGCCAGGGTTGCACAGCAGCTCAGAAGCACTTGGGTCCTAGGAAAGGTCCTAGGAAAACTCAGGAACTCCCCCGTACACCCACCTACACTTCAAAACTTCCTCCCCAACCACTACTGAGGGGTGTTTTGTGAAGATTTAGAATATACATTTGGGAAGAATTTGAGTCTTCACAAGTTAACCCCCTCCTCCAAATCACACACCTGGGTCGGTGGTACAGGAGCAGCTGCTGCGTTGTCTGCTTTCTCCCCCAGTTCCGTGACCCACAGCCAGAATTTCTCACCTTTCCTGCCATGGGAAAAACCTCCAGTGGCAGAAAAGACCCAACCACCCTGTGGCTTAAGCTTTTCTTCAGGAGGTTCACGCAGGGGAGCTGGGAACAATCTGTGTCATTTCACAGCCCATCTCGTCCAGCACTTCTTGTGGAAAACTTATTTTCAAGCAGGGATGTCTTTTTGGAGCCTCCTACCACGGTTTGGCTTGAATTTCATCCCACTTATCTGCCAGTCCCAGGGACCTCTGGGCAACAAAAAGGGTCTCCTGGTCGTGACACCAGTGTCTACAAAAGCACGTTCTTCAGCCTGGGCTCCACACAAGCTGGGAACAGCAACTCGTGCAACAAGCAGCTCTTCCTGGAACGCATTTTCTCCCCGTCCGGAGCACAGGACGCTAAGCAGAACATGGAAGTCTCTTCCAGAGGCACCAAACCGTGGCGTGTCCTTCCCTCTCCTCAGAGAGAAACAAGCTACAGGCACGGGGATGGCTCAGCCCCCTGTCCCTGGGAGCTCCGGGCCGCCGGGGACGGCTGATGCCTGGGCGGACACCCCGGATGCGCGCAGGGAGAGCGGCCGAGGGACGCGGGTGCGCGGGGCGCCCGCCATCCCCTCAGCCCCGTGGGGGGGGGCGAGCGGCCC